GCGCGCGCCGCCGCTGCGAGAATTGTAACCCGCCGGCAGTACTCGAGCGGAGCGCATTGTTACCTATTTTCGAAGGTCTCCCTTGAAATTCCAAGACTCGCCTGCATGAAGCGACTATATGCAATCAATAGTAGAAACATTCAGTTTCAATTTCCTGTTTCGAACGTCCCGAAATATGGTCGGAATCGAAAGTTATATATGTTTTTGTGAAAAATGAGGAAATCGTGATATTTGGCCTTATACTTCAAATAAAACGTTTAAAACTGCTTCTTTTCGATTCCACAAGTACGTGTTTAAAAACTACACATCTTCAGCTACAAATTCCACCCAATGCCGTCTTCGTGGAAGCATTTCCCGTGACGTGAGATCGTTTGTAATGTGAAAGTTTAAATTCAGCGTTTTTTAGGCATATTTCAAATGCCTCATATTTTTTGCCAAAACTCAAAATCGAAATTTCATGTTATAGGTTTTGAAGTTTAGGCTCTAACAATGGAAATTCCACAGCGACCGGTCAATGGAAGTGATAAATTTTATTGATCTCATGAGAATCGTAAAAAATGGCAAAAATCGCGCAACGTTTATTTATTTAACAGCTTTATAGAAACTGACTTCATTTGCGGCAAAATGCAAAAATTGCATACGAAAGCTGCACTCTTCACCTTTAAAATGCATTTTGATTTTTGTCGATAGGACACTCTGATCAAAAGATATCGAATTATTACCGTCGAGTTGATAGAAATTTTATTTAAAAAATTGATTTCGCGCGCGTAACTGACATTCAAAATCACCGGTCGCTTCAAGCGTTGTTTCTGAGAGAACGGTTCATTCTACACAAAAAGTGCTAAGAAACATTTTTGTTCAAAATTATCTTAGCTACATTTCTTGTTTGAAACATTTTTTTCTACGGCGTACAGATTCTTGGGAAATCGATGTTTTCCGTTTTTCCCCCCTACGAGGGTTTTAGGGGGAAGCCCAGGGGTAGGAGTGGCAAATTTTTTTGCATCTTTTTTGGGGTCCCAAAATTGACATCCACAGCAAAATCTAGCTTGTTCGTCTCGTTTTTAGAGGTCAAATCTCTGACGACTGGACTATATGGTTACGGATCCCTATTGTAGATGATCCTTTAGGGTTTATATCTCGACAGAAAAAAATGTCGTGAAAAAGGGTGCGAATTGGACAGAAGGTGAAACACGAACATTTCTCGACAGTAACCGAAAAAAGTATTTTGAATATAATGGATGGGAAGAAACATCGGCATGTGGAGATTTTCCGAATGTTAACCAGAACGGAGATTTAGGATCAGCGACCATAAATCGATAGTCACTCTGTAACGTCCGGTGCGCCTATAGTGTAGCGCCCTGTCCTTTTACCAAGCGAGAGCGAACATGGAATATAACGAACCAATATAATATGTGCCGACTACAATCGCGTTCAGCTATAGGTCAAGCCACCGAAACCGTCGCGATCGAACGCCGCGCATACTGCGCCTGCGCCAAGGTATAAATGCTAAAAGTGATGCAAGAATGCATTTTAGCAAGGAAACACCGTTAACACAAGGTAGGGAATAACCAAAATAACAACCGACCTCGACGCAGCCGCAAGGAAAAACCGCAGATCCGCGAAAAATTAATAAAAACGCATAACGCCAACGCAATGCATTGCCGCGCAACCCTGAATGCACCCATCGGTCACAAAAGGCCTCTGAATACGAACGAAACTATTACAAATAAAATCAAAGCGCACATAACTAAGAGAAAGCCTTAAACAAACATCAAAATTCCACGCGCACAAAGAACGAAAAAATCCGGAACAATACAGAAACTTACGATGAAAAAACGCGCAAGAAACAAATGCAAGTTCTGCCGCAACGGGCTGCGGTACGCGACGACTGAACGCGCCAATACGAATCTCGCGACCCCCGCAGTAAAATAAAACGCGCAATCTAACTAAAATCTAATTATTATTAGAGCAAATCACAAATAACATAATCGGCACGTACTAAAGATTTCGCAATAACACGAGGACGTGAACATCCCCTTATCGCGAGGGGCCACAATGTTAACAATATATAAACGAGCGCGTTCACGGACTTGGTTCCTATTCTCTTCCATTCTGTAACTAGCTAAGGTAGGAATACCGCGCTTACGTTAAGCGCAAGCAACTTCCTTTGTAACCTCAAAATCCGGCCTTAACCGTGCGCCTCCCCAGGCGTCGTTAAAGCCATCCCCACCTGTGACTCCAAGCGCGGCTCATGCAGGCGCGCCGACGAGCCACATTTCCCCGTGGAACTCAAACGAGCTCCTTCACCGGCGTCGAGGCTTCCACACCCTTCTCCCTTTTTTTTTTATCTTATTTCGCTTATATAAGTTACTAAAAATCTCGCTCCTCCCTTTTTCATCTTAACAATAGATGAACAAGAGAAAACGACCAAGAGGGAAGCGCGGTGGTTGGAGGGTGCACCTCCGAGCCCTCCGGCGATCCCTGATTGGGCAGAAGGACGGGAGCGAGGGACCGACGCCAAACTCGTCACCGCCACCCCCTCCGACGGGAGAT